AGGATCTAAAGTAGGCGCCAAACAAACCTAACACAAATACTAATATGCACATCATTTCCAACATCATAACATCATCACCGCCAGCATGAATAATCATCATTATGATCACCATCACAATTACCATTACCGTCACTGTCACCATCACCGCCATCATCACCAGAATCATCATCATCATCGTCATCATCATCATCATCATCATCATCATCATCATCATCATCATCATCATCATCATCATCACATCATCATCATCATCGTCATCATCATCATCATCATCATCATCATCATCATCATCACCATCATCATTACCGACTTAACAATTCCACTTTCCCTTGTTTCGTTTCTCTAGAAAACAAAGCAATTTGCACCATGGCAATACATTCTTACGTAACCAACCTTGCACCTTGTACCTTGTGTGAAGGACCGACATTACTGCACAAGGGGCATCCCCATAAGCGCTCCGTCCCCCGAAAAAGCACATCTGGAAGTTGGTAAATGCTGACGGTTACAAGCAATGGTTGATTCCATAGCCTTCTGCTCCTCCCACTAGGTCTTGAACTTCTGCAGGTGCCCCATTCAATTCAAAAACTAACGAAGTTGCTCAAGATGATGGTATTCCGACTCTTCTTGTTCTTTTTCTCGTTTTTCACTGACCGATCGTACAATTTCAGGTTTCCTTTCAGGTCTTGCTTTCCCAGCGAGCTCATCAGTCCGCTCATTGCCCTTGACTCCAGCATGGCCTGGTGTTAAGATCCACGGGATCTTTTTCACTGTTGTCTTCTTCAGGAGCTCTGTCCATTCAGCTCTAAGGTTCCCACTTTCAATCTTCCTCAGAGTGCTCTGAGAGTCTGTGATAAAGACCACATGTGCTTGTCGAGTTGTTGTGATCCGTTTGAGAGCCTGAGTGATTACCTCTATCTCCATTCTCATGCTAGATGTCGTCATATCATAAGCTCTCTGCTGCTCCTGCACCAATCTGTCACTCACTCTTGCTGAGAAGCCCCATCCAGATTTTTCCCCTCGTATAACAGATCCATCCGTGCCGTGAGTTTTCTTCAATCAGTTGTCGTATCTCAGCCTCCGTCGCCCCCTGCGGCCACTCTCTACATTCTCTGTTCAGCGTAATCAACAAAATATGTACACCAAAATCAGAACACGGGACAAAATAAAAAAATAAAAAACCCCCAAACATAGCTATTATGTACCTTACTGGCACAAGCACAGAGAGTGCTGGACATACCTGGTCGTGGTGTGGTCACCCGTGGGGGAGGCGTGGTCACTCTGAGTGTGGTTCTTCTGGTTGTTGTCACTGCCGGACAGAATGTTGTAAGATAAGATACATCTTTATTGTCCAGATCTTTGCACTTTGGTTTGGTGTTAAACCACGTACACATATTTATATACACACACACGCACACACACACACACACACACACACACACACACACACACACACACACACACATCTACACACACCCACAAAAAATACGCACAAACGCAGGCTTACAGTCACTGATAGGAGTACATCTAAATCACACTGGAATATATGCCTACCTCGGCTAAATTAACACGTCAATGTTGAATTAAATCCTACTGTTTAAGTCAAAAATAGGGTAGATACTTTACTTGTATCCTCCGCTTATTCCCTTTTGGGTGCCGCGGGAGAAAGAGACGTCTCTCTGTCGCCAGCCGGAGAACTTGGGTTAGGGGGATGTCGTGGGTGGTTATTGTTTCCCTGACTCCATCTATCCAGGTCTTTCTCGGTTGCCCTCTAGCCTTGTTGCCACTGAATATTTTGATGTACACACGTTCAGCTGGATGATGTGTTGGTAATTGCATGACATGTCCGAACCATTTGATTCTCTGGTGTTGGAAGTGAAGCATGACATCATTTGTGCCCACCTTTCTCTGATTACTGAGTCTCTAATTTTGTCTCGCCTGGTCTTGTTTACAGCTTTTCTAAGACATTGCTTTTCACATGTTGTAATTCTTTGCTCTAATGTCTTGTTCGTGGTCCATGTTTGGCTTTGATAGGTGATTGTTGGGGTTAATAAAATGTTGATCATTTGGAGCTTTGTTGTCTTGGGAATGTTGGCATGTTTCAGTAGTGGAGTAAGCTTG